ATCAATATATATTTATTCCAACGCAATGATATTTAAGAATCTATAAACACAACATAATGCAAGGTTCATGTCTAATATTCAGCCAATACAAGACCCACAAGATACAGGTCTAAGTAGCAAACATACAAACCATACTTACTTACCTTCCTGAACATAAAGGACATATTCTGTTCAACACGAGAAACATGGGAGGGATCCTATAGGGTGGGAAATATTCGCCTCCTGTCATTACTAAAATTAAGATTATTAGTACACTAAAGCTAATATAATCTTCAATTTTACCACATGACAGGAGGCTTCATATTTGCATTTTTAAAGCTTGAATTGACCAATGTGAAGGAAGCATGAGATGTTTGCCGAAAATAGAATGTTCTAAACGTACTCTCTCGCGCTCAGTCCGCGCAGCGTATAATGTCGGCTAGGGAAGCGTCGGCCGAAAAGGTTTGTGAGGCCGCTGCTCCCCTGACTGAGTGGGCTCCGAAACAAGGTTCGACGCTAAAGACAAAAACCAGCGGACCCATCTGGCCAGTGTTGCGGTAGACACCGGTCCATGAGGGTTTACGTAAGAAGTCAGAAGGTGATCCGTCGAATGAGTTCGAAGGGGGTAGAGATATTGGTGTACCCCATTATCGTTCTGACCACGCATAGTGTGGCGTCTGACACAAAGCATGGGTATGACACTGAAGACGAATCCGACTTAGTTCGTCTCGACATGGTAAAGGTAACCCCGTCTGGTGTGAGAGAGAAACCATCCATATCGCAAGCCCTAACGTCCGCCACCGTCTAAATGAGGCGAGGCATAATAAGAAGGCTAGTTTGGCTGAAAGTTGCTTCAGTGACAAACAAGGATTGTCCGGCCATTCCCTAAGGAATCTCAGCACCACATCCACCTGCCAGAGGCGTGAATATTTGGGTGCAGGGATCTCGACAATTCGGCACCCCGCAGTAGTCGACAAACCAGTGTATCTTGACCTACTGGTCTGCCCTGTACCGGAACGTGCGCCGCCGACATGGCGGATCTGATCACGTTGAGGGATCGATATGACCGACCCAACGAGACCGGGTGTGACAGATAGTTGGGGATCAGTGGGACAGGTGCGGTAAAGGGATCAGAATCCCTTTCCACACACCAATCACTCCAGGCCGACCAGGCAGAAATATAGCCTTTCCTGGTGCCGGGAGCCTATGAGTCCCATAGGAGGTCTTAGTTGATGCAATAGGTCGTGATCTGACCAGGAGCCCCTGAAGCCGTCCAGGCAACTAGTGCCAGTTGTCCTTCCATGACAAGGGAGTGGGCTTCCCCTCGAGGTCCCGTCAGAAGTAGAGGGAAGGTAGGGAGTAGTAGAGGGTCTTCGCGAGACATCTCCAGGCGATCCTGGAAATCACGGTTGGCCCTGCCCGAGGGGTGTCATGAGCAGGAGCGATATCCTGTGGGTGTGTGTGTGTATCGAAGCACCCTTGCTATTGTGGAGAACGGCTGGGTCGCGTTTGCAGGGGTTCATCCATCGCCCCGTATCCGAAGGAAGAGTCAAAGGTCGTTTTGCCAATCCAAGTTTGTATGTGAAGTAATCACCATCAAAATTCCATCCTCACTTCCGTTGACAGTGAGATCCAGTGGTTGTATGAGTGACCGGTGCGTACGTATCTCACCATCAGTCGTAGTGGGCCAGGGAATAACGCTTGTATGGAGGAGGAGAGGAATCCCACAATCCGACAGCTATCCTTATAGAGGCACTCTTTGCCGTAGACTGATGTGGAACGTAGTCCTCCAAGCCGATGTCGAAACTGAGGAACTGGCCCGATTCAGATGGAGAAGCGATCTTTGTCTGTTTACAACGAAAAATCCATGGAGTCCCGAAAGTGAATGACAAATTTGTCTGCAAATGTAGCCTGGATTCGTAAAGAATCAGCAAGTCTTCCAGGTATACGAGGCATCGCACGCCCAAATTTACGGATGTGTGCCCTCACTGGTTACAGTAGGTTCGCGAGCACCACGGAGTCGTAAACTGCCGTGTTTGTCCTCACCATTGGAATCGGAGGAAAACTTCGGCAGTCCAGGGCAACGGGTACCGACAAGCGTGCGTCCTTGAGGTCCAGATGTGTAAACCAGTCGTTATCGCCTAGGAGGTCTTGTAGAAGACGAATTTCCTCCATCTTGCAGCATTTGTATACCGTGTAGGAGTTCCATTGATGTAGTCTCCTGGCTTCTTCTTGACCAGCAAAATTTGCTGGGGAAGCCTTCCCCTCCGTTGCGTGTTGAATTGCGCACCTCCTGAAGAGGGTGCAGATTTTCTTGTCCACGAGGTGTTCCTGTTCCGCCAGCGTGCGTAATGGAGGTGAAGGGGCGACCTGCACGGCTGTGATAAAACTCTATGACATAACCTTGTACTGTCTGGAGAACCCAGGTGACTTTGGTAGTCGTCTCCCAATTCTGTAAAACAGAGACAGGTTGCCGGTCATAATATTGGAAACAGGTAGTTATGTAGGTTGACACACTAGTAGATGAAGTGGATGGGTTCCTTTGTGTAGTAGATGGGAGAAATATGAGGACTGTGTATACGATCTGGAACCTGTCGCCCAGAAGCGGCTGGTGGCTCGGATCAGCTACCGACCAGTCCTCCCAGAAACACCTTTCCCCGTAGGGTTGTAGAAGACTTGTTTTAGCGAGGTCTGTGTTTAGTGTGGTGAATAAATTCACGTGTTTTGAGTACTGCAATGAACACTACGTCGAATAGTAGGCCTTGTGCTTTTGGGCCGAATTCTTGTCGTTCCTAGGTCCAATAGTGTGTTGTCGATGCGGCCCAGTACAGATTTGCGTCTGTCGGCGCATAGTGCGTCATTTACGTTGCTCGGGAGGCAGATCGAGCATTGAGACCATTCTTTGGAGGTGGTAGGGTTGAGTTGTGTACCCTGGGGTAACTCGGTCTTGAGGCGTGCGCATCCTTCCATCCCCCGAGGGTTGCGCAGCCAATAGTGTTCGTCCAGGAACGTTCTGTCTTCGGCTAATCTGGTTTAGTGCCGCTACAGTTATCTCTGCCTCAGCCGCCGTCACGGAGTAAGGTTTCCCTAACGTACTTCGAGGAAGTGTGGGGAAGGTCTTGCCGTTCCATTTCCTCAGACGGTGAGCTGTCTTTGTGTCGCTCATCTACCATGTCCAAAGTACGTGGTGGGTAATAGTCTTCTTTGTCGGAAGATTGTGGCGGATGGGGTTTGGATTCCCGGTGCTCCGCCTATTTGGTCTGTTCGATGGGCATCTTGCCCATGACCTTAGTGGCAGGGGGGCTGGAGCCCTTCCCTTGCCGTTTTGACTTGAAGGCTTGTGGGCCTGAGGTCTCCATCAAGCGGTGTGGGGTAGAGTTCATAACAGAACCTTCTCCACTGAGGCCGTTACTGTGGCGTTTATCATTGTCTAGAAATCTTGGGAACGTTGAGAGTGTCCACCATGACTCGTTCCCGTCCTGTTGGGAGATAGTGTGAGGGTCAGCACGTGGGGGTGGTAGACTCCTGGCAGAACTGGGGATCACCCAGGTAAAAAGAGGGGTCACCTCTATTAGTTTAATCTGGCTACTGAGAGCCGTGGTGCAGGCGCGACTGACTGGTAGTGGTGTCGGTCTGGCTAGCCGGGTTCACCACAAATGTACGCCAGAGCTGTATGCACGGTTTTTAACTATACAGGCTTACTATATAGGCGCATGGGGCCTGT